GGTGCGTGCGTGCTGTGCGTACGTGCGTGCGTGCGTGCGTGCGTGCGTGTGTGTTTTTTCGTAAAAATACTGAGAGGCAAAAGTTAATATATTTATATCTTTAACAATTTCTCTAAGAGACTCTTAGTTTCAGGTTGTAAATAACTCTTATGGCCCTCACCTGAAAAAAAAATATTTCTCAATCAGCCGCATTCCTCCCCATTCCCCATAGCAAAATCCCATATGACATTATGCTATAAAGATAACTGAAATAAACTAATCAAGCTGTCTTGACACTAGTGAGATCTATCTTTTTACAGCATAAGCTGCAGAGCTTATTTTGCTTGCCAGTTTATATATATGAGGGCCCCACTGAAGCGTAAGGGCAATACGGTCATCCGGGTTACTACTACAGTAGAGCGTCGCGTCGATTATCCGAATCAATTGGGGGACATAAGTGTTCGGAAAACCGGTTTGTTCGGATAATCGAACTATGTAATTGTATGTACCAGTATACTAATAAAAACATATTTATAATATGTAATATAAATTGAATTTATGACCGTTGTAATACAGCTAGAGCAGTGATACGATTATTTACTTTAGACCAGGTGCCGCTAATTCGCGACGCGAGGCAAGGTTTTTCTTGGTAAAGCCTTCCAATTGAGTCCAGTTTCGTTAGAATTGTTAATATGTAATAAAACTAAATGTTTTCTAAAACATAATTTTCTTGTTTCAATACGTCGCTTATTTTGATTTTGTAAGAATCAGTTGCTGAAGAAACAGCAGACAGTTTTGCTCCCTCCCTGTATTTGAGTCTCACGAATGCCATGTCTTGACTTAAACCAACATTTAATGTTTTGCCTTTTCACATAGAACGGCATCAGAGATAGGTTCTCCTTGCGATTTATTTTGTGTAAATCACTTGTAAACAGCGTCATCGAGATCGGTGTTCGTGTCAAGCTTCATAGTTTTACGACTTGTTGACCCATTAGTAAAATCATGGCTGGATATGGTCGCCTTTTGGTTTTTATATCCGTAATTGTCAGCTTAATGACTTTGTACTTCTTAAATAACACGGTTGCAGATTCGCCTTTCACTAATCGTTTGCTAATCTCGTATTTATCGGTACGGAACGTAGGCCAACACGGGCTCTGCGCGGAGAAGCGAGAAGGTGGTCGCATCCCAATGAGGTGCTGAGGACCGAGGTAGCATTTCGGTTAAGCGGTCGTTCGGTTAATCGACGTTCGGATAATCGACGTACTTTCTTATAACTCAAAATACAACAGTTTTGTTCGCACAAATGGATCTGTATATAGGTTACACTTACAATACAGTTTATTCTATATTTACAAGTGAATATGTTGATTTTTCGAAGTGTTCTTATTTTTTTTCAAAGCTTGTTAGCTATTTTTTCTCAATAGTCATATTAGTTATAGAATACGACTTAAATTATTTGTCTCTGTAGGTACTCCTTCTAGTTTTGGTATTATAGTACGGCAAAGCCCTTACGTTCCTTCATCGATTCGTATAGCGTAATAGGTACCATTTGCCGATAAGAGAATAATGTGATATAATCAATGACCTAAAAATAAGTCATTGAGTATAATACTGGATGTTAATGAAAAAAAAAACATTAGAACATATACATAGGGCAAATGTTTATAAGCGAGAAAACTGTTTGCAGCGCCCCATAGAAAGACGCTGTGTCTGAACAACTTCATAAATATTAATATACTATTAAGTATAGGCCAGATAACTCACTGATTACTTCCAAGATATTTTTTCATTTAGTTTTAGATTAATCATAGCGATTGATTTACGAAAAGTCAGATTAGAAGTTGCAATACACCAGGTAGTAATGTAATTCTGTTGTAATGTAATAACGTAGCTATAGATGTCGCTAAAACATATTTATGTCAAAAGTCAAAGTTTATTAAAATCAAGTAAAATGATTCCATAGTTCAAGAATAATTTTACAGATGGCGGTGAGATTTATTAAATAATGATAGACAACATTTTTTTTTCTCTTCGACCAATAGTACTATTATTGATAGGTTTTCTTGTATACTATTTTAATATACTTGATATGTACTTGTTACTTGTGGTTAAAATGTAGTCTACGTCAACGGGATCCAAGACTTTCTGCCACCAGGGCGGCGTCACTTAGGAGTGAGATGAAATATTTGACAGGTTTCGCAGCGGGGAAGTAAATTTTTTAGAAAACTGTACTGTAGAGACTGATGTTTATTTTTGAAATATTTGTAATATTTTATAGAAATTAAATTAAAACACGTAAACCAAAATACTAACGGATATTCCTAAAGGTATGAATATTAAAAAGTTAAAAATGTGTAAAAACTGAAAGAATACAGCACCAAGGCAATGTTTTCTGTATACACATAACACTAGAAACCGATAAAATCATAATTTTCATTGATGCTGACACGGTGACCACCTTAGTCCCAACTAGCGACATCTGGTGATCGTAAGATTATTAGCCCTCAATGATAACCTACTACTGCCTTCTAATAAAAAATACATAATATATAATATTATTACGTAGGTTTAAATTCAAATAAGTTTATTTAATTTAAATTTATTTTATCACTTGTTTGTAAAGAAATATATTAAAAGATCTCTTTTTGTTTTACGTTGAACCTATGCTAGCGACTCCAGACAATATAGCCATATATGGAATTATGGAAAAGAGGGACACAACATATCGTATCACGTACAATGCAAGTGTGTGCGTAGAAAGCTGCTTTATGAGTTTTTTGATAACTAAGTACATAGTTTATAAACATTTGAGTTACCTCAGCACTTGTTTACGTTTTGTTTATTTTACAATGCTTATTTACAAACAAGAAAAAATATTTAAATGTAAATAACAATCCAAAAATGAGACCAGACTGAAAAGCCAAATTACGTATGTCTCGTTACTATCCGAAAACATCGATTTTTAGTGTAGTGCTCCTTTTAATATTTATCGATAAGAACAATTTAATATCGTAAGGTTTAGAAATTATTGACATAAAATAACGAATTTAAAAGCAAGTGTATACAATACTTTGTGTACTAAGTGTACTATGTGTGTAGACAATACTTTCAATTTAAATGTTACGCCACTTGGCAAATTCTTGTAAATGCCTTTGGTCTTCATGGATCGGGGAACACAGCATATAAAGAATATTTAGCTATTTTATCATATTACTTACAAAAACCGTTAAATCTACATCAATTTCATTTATTTTCCTATTGTAATTTTAAGTCGAGTTTTCGAATTTCTTGTAAAAACAATATTAAAATATTTTGTGTAATAATGTACGCGAAGATTAACTTCGACAAATAACCAGGTTATGTTGGTCCCTGCAATCTAAAAATAGGACTTCATTGTCATGATTTGTAAGCCCCTTGTATTCACCAACTTTCAGGTATTATGGGTAAAATTTAGGTCATTTCATATTAGTAAGATGGAATTTTGCTCCAGTGAATTTATATGTGGTAGCAATAATTCATGTAGCACTTTAAATAAGATGAAAAGCTGTTCTTTATTCAAAAATTATATACAATTTGAAAAAAAAAAGCTATAATTTAGCTTTTGTGATAGTGGTGTAGAATTTTCACGTGGTAGAGCCACGCTGCAACAATATTATAGTTCGGGGTAGGACCACAGTCTTACTTACAGAATACCAGCATGAAATGGCAGCGTAATTCTGCTGTGTTTTGTATGGTGAGTGTAAATTACTGGAGACCCTTTTTACTGGAATCGAAGCATTCTATCTTAGCCCTCAGGGAAGACAACGCTTTGCATTTTGATCCTTAGTTGACTATAAATGAGGATGTATATGAGCCGCAGCATCCACTTACCATCAGGTGGATTGTGTGATCGTTTTTCACCCAATGCTATAAAAAAAGAATATCTTAATAACTTTGATTGCCAACCTACCTGCCAAAAGTGGCAACTACAACAAAAATCCTTATGTCCAGCAGTTATTTTTGATACGCCGTAATGAATTAATGATTTTACATCTACTTATAATGACGAAAAACACATTCTGTATTTTTGTTTCATATACATAGTTTTACTAATAGTTACGCTAAATTCTTCGAAATATAGTTTTTGTAATTAAATATATACTAAGGATATACAATTTTTAATCTATTTACTGTTGTAAAAATCATGATTCTTCTTCTTCTATTTCATTTAGTTTTCTGTAATATTATCTCAAATTTAATGAAATTACTAAAGTTATATTATTTTAAATTCTCCAAATGTTTATCTTAAGCAATGAAAGATGTTATTATTAAAGTATCATTTATTATACAGCGATAGATTGACTTAATACAAAGAAACTATTTACTGTTGGAAACAACCAATTTTTTTATAGATTTAGAGTGTTGGTGAGTGGATACTATCTACATCTATTCTCGATTAAGAGTCAAAATGTAGATGTTTTCTCACCCCTGAGGACTAGGAAGATGAATATGGAATGCCTCGTTTCCAGTAAAAAGGATCTTTGGATCTCCACATTTAACATATGAAATATAGCATAAAGCATTAAGCTGTTAATGTAAGAGCGTATTTCTTCTCCGGTCTAGATGATCCATTCGTGTTAAAACCATAATAACGCTACAGCATGGATTTGCCACGAAAAATTTTAGAAATAAGTGCATTATTACAACAGACGTATTTAAATCATTTTTTAGTTTTTCGATATCGAATAAAATAAATTCGAAGCACTAAATCATATGAATCAGCAGTAGCCCAATATTCCTGCAATGGTGATATAATGCAGCTTTAACCTTATTGGTCGATACGCCCATGCGGCATTTGAATTCACCAATCATAGTTTGGTGTGAGAAGCGTCGTTTTGCGAGCGCCAAGAGTATATATACTTGCCCAACGTATTTTTCCCGTTATTAACCGTTCGGCAAGCCTCTTAACCGGTATCGCTGAACGTCGACTGATATATTTATTAATTTAAATCTACTTTAAGTTCAACAAAACTCAATTCAAAATGGTAAGTGAATATACTTTTTTCGATTTACAATTTCATAACGCTATTTGCGGTGTAGTTTACTGATTATTTTCAAATTTTACTGTGATTTCGCCGGCTAGTGACGCCATTTTGACGGCGCTATATCGCGATCTTCTTGAAATGTCCACGAGGTAGGGTGTGGCATTCTTAATTTCAAATTTAGAATTTTAATTATTTGACGCTTATTGTACTTCTTTTTTTTTGTAATGTGAATTATTTTCCTTTAAACGAGCCATTTGTCATATTGTCAATGCCGGCACGATGACTCAATCGAAATCAAGGGCCCCACGCCCTTGATCGAGGTTTGATTGAGTTGTCGAACATTATTTAAATTAATTCATTTTGCTTTTATTATTATCGTATTTAATAAAGTTTCGTGATGACTAACCACTACATCGATCTTGTGGTGATGTCATGAGATTGATGGCGTGGCTTAGCCGACTTTCGCCACATAATTTTTCAGTAAATTGTATGGATTTTTTTATAGTACACTACGGTCGTTTACGAAAAGATGATAAAATACACAATTCTTTCTAAATGTTAATTTTTATTTCATTAGCGTGAGTGCATCTCTGTACACGTCGGGCAAGCTGGAGTCCAGATCGGTAACGCCTGCTGGGAGCTCTACTGCCTTGAGCATGGCATCCAACCCGACGGCCAGATGCCCACCGACAAGACCATCGGCGGTGGCGACGACTCTTTCAACACCTTCTTCAGCGAAACTGGCGCCGGCAAACATGTTCCTAGGGCCGTATTCGTGGATTTAGAGCCTACTGTAGTCGGTGAGTTTAGTACCTAATGAAATAAAAAATTCCCTTAAATATTATTAAAGTTGTGATTTTTAAGAATGAAACTATACCTGTTTATCACTAGTTTAGAAAATATCTCTGTCCATGAATGAAAGGTTAAGCAAGAAATCCAGCGGGACATTTTATTGATTGATTTCAATGTAGTTTTATAGTAAAGTTAACAGCCTATATACATCCCACTGCTGAGCACAGACCTCCCGCTCATTTCTGAGAGGGTTTTAAGGCAAGGAATTGTCCGCCGCGCTGCCCCAATGCGTAGTTTTATAGTATTTGTATATATTTGAAACAATTGTTTCTTTGTCCACAGATGAGGTTCGCACAGGCACATACAGACAGTTGTTTCACCCAGAACAACTTATCACTGGTAAAGAAGATGCGGCCAACAATTATGCACGTGGACACTACACAATCGGAAAGGAAATCGTAGACTTAGTTCTCGACCGCATCCGCAAGCTCGCTGACCAATGCACGGGTCTCCAGGGCTTCCTTATCTTTCACTCCTTCGGCGGTGGCACCGGATCCGGTTTCACTTCTCTCCTTATGGAGCGTCTCTCTGTAGACTACGGAAAGAAGTCCAAACTCGAGTTCGCCATCTACCCCGCCCCGCAAGTGTCCACCGCTGTCGTCGAACCCTACAACTCCATCCTTACCACCCACACTACCTTGGAACACTCTGACTGTGCCTTCATGGTCGACAACGAAGCTATCTATGATATCTGCCGCCGTAACCTGGACATCGAACGCCCGACCTACACCAACCTTAACCGTCTTATCGGCCAGATAGTGTCCTCCATCACAGCCTCCCTGCGTTTCGACGGCGCCCTGAACGTCGACCTAACTGAGTTCCAGACCAACTTGGTGCCGTACCCACGTATCCATTTCCCTCTCGTCACTTACGCGCCTGTCATCTCGGCTGAAAAGGCTTACCACGAGCAGCTGTCGGTTGCCGAGATCACTAACGCATGCTTCGAGCCCGCTAACCAGATGGTGAAATGCGACCCCCGTCACGGAAAATACATGGCTTGCTGCATGTTGTACCGTGGTGACGTCGTACCTAAGGACGTGAACGCTGCCATCGCCACAATCAAGACCAAGCGCACAATCCAGTTCGTCGACTGGTGTCCCACTGGATTCAAGGTTGGCATCAACTACCAGCCCCCGACTGTGGTGCCCGGTGGTGACCTGGCAAAGGTTCAGCGTGCCGTGTGCATGTTGTCCAACACCACCGCCATCGCCGAGGCTTGGGCTCGTCTTGACCACAAGTTTGACCTCATGTACGCCAAGCGCGCCTTCGTCCACTGGTACGTCGGTGAGGGTATGGAGGAGGGAGAGTTCTCCGAGGCCCGTGAAGACTTGGCCGCTCTCGAGAAGGACTACGAAGAGGTTGGCATGGACTCCGCAGAAGGTGAAGGCGAAGGAGCCGAGGAATATTAAAATGCTCGAACTGAACACAATACATTCCCGGTGAAATGAAATAAAAAAATATGTTTCAATTTTGTTGTTTGTTTTACCAAATATACCAAAATAACGCTTTGAATTAGGTAGGTAAATCAATTTTTTCTACAAATAATAATATATTACATTCATCCTTTCATCACAAGTAGTAAAACTGAATAATCTCTTAAATTTAAAATTTAATACACGCAATTATCATATTTTTAGTTACCTATTTTTTTACCAACCTGGGTAGGTATATCTCAAACAATTCAACATTCTCGAAACTTCTCTCGTTTCATTGCAGAGCATATAGCTTTGCCAGACATCAGGATAAAGTCGGATACAGGGTTTTGGTTGCGTGTCCGGCTAAATTAGACGGTGTCCGTCTTTTGTTAGGATTTTCAAATTGGACCATTTCTTTACATTTTTCACACCTATACTTAAATTTATGCTATAGCAATTATTGAAGTTATTGTATTGAATAATAAAGACTGATTTAAATTATTTCGTTAAAAGTTAGTAAATGATATAGAATGATATTTCTAGAATAAGAGACACCATGACTAAAATCTGTGCGGCAGTGGAGGGCGCGTGGTCGGACAGTCTGAAGCAGAATACCTTATTACGGCACAGACTTAGAGCCCGAGGCTCTAACGCGTGTTGCAAACGACCAAAATCTTCACGTTTTTTTTATAGGATAGGGTGACAAACGAGCACACAGTCCACCTGATGGTAAACGGTTGCTGCGACCCGTAGACATCTACATCTATCCTCGATTACAAATCAAAATGCAGATGCGTTGTCACCCGTCAGGACCAAGATGGAATACCTCGTATCGAGTAAAAAGGGTCTCTGAGGCTCTACACTCACCATACGAAACAAAGCAGCATATTAAGCTACTATTTTACGCTGGTATTCTGTGAGAGCGTGATCCTTCCCCGGTCGAGCCGACCCATTTGTGCTACAGCCATAGATTTATGTTTTGTATAACTCAATGGCTACAGCTACACTTCTAATGTAACTGCAGCATGGCTCTATCACGTAAATTTTTTTTATTATAATTTTTATTTTATGTAGTAATATAAATTATTATACAACGTGTAACACAATTAACGCACTGAGAAAGTAGTTTGTTCAGAATCGTTTACTGAATCGATTCGTATCATTTTTAATATAGGTAATTTTTTATCCCAAAAATAATTAAAACTACGTAAATTACAGTAACACTAAATCTGTACAGTCAAAACAAACTGAAATGGACCGTAACTTAAGGCAATAAGACTTAAGAGTACAGTATTATTACTAAATTTTAATATATTTTTTTAATTAATAAAAATAAAGAAAAATGAACTTTATTTCAAGCACGTTAAAGTCTTTGCGTTCGTGGATTGTACTGTGACGATTTGATAAATAATGAGTGCATAAAATGTTTAACTAAAAATTCAGTGTATGTATTAAGATTATAACATAATATACTAATTGGGGTGTCTGAGGGTGTGCGTTAATTACGTTACATATTGTATATTTAATATTAATAACTTCAAAAAATTATTTTATTTTAATAAAAAAATTAAAAATATAAACTGAAAATTATAAGTATTTTTTTTTCAATTTTTGACCCTACAACAAATTTATTTAATTTATCATTAAATTGAATTAGAACTTTCATTGGAATAATATTTATTCCATATTCTTTTTGATAAATTCCTAATCGACATTATATTTTATGAAATTTTATTACTAATAAACTTCATAATGAATTTAAAATATTATTAGGTTATTAATAGATTTAATGGATCTACTTTTATTTTTATTTCATTATTTAACTTTATTTTATTTAATAATTTCTTAGGATTATTATTCCCTTATATTTTTACTAGAACAATTCATTTAACTATTTCATTATCATTATGAATTAAGATTTATAATATATAGATGAATTAATAATTATCAACATATATTTATTCACATAATTCCTCAAGGAACCCCAAGTATTTTAATACAATTTATAGTATTAATTGAAACTACTAGTAATATTATTCGACCTGGAACTTTAGCTGTTCGTTTAACTGCTAATATAATTGCAGGTCATTTATTATTAACTTTATTAAGAAGAACTAGCTCTAACTTATTATTTCTTTATATTATTTATTTTAATTTTACGTCTTTTCTAGTAGGTACATATTACTTCAATGGCTACAACTAACGCTCTAATTTTCCTTACATAAACTTGGCTCAACTGAGCCCAGGTTCTGCGACGGAGTTGACAGTTCATCTAAATATTCACGTCATGCAGTCATCACTTTACTTGTAAAAAGTATGTTGAGCTATTTTATATCCAATGTTTGGAAAGTGGTTGTACTTTCCTCTCGATTAACTGAACTGAATCGTGTTGCACAGAAAGAATCGCGTTACTTCGGCCGACTTATTGGAATGGAAAGCTCGCAGTGCAGTCACTAGTGAACGCCGCCACTGTGTAAGTACATTTAAACAATGAAAATTAAGTCAAGCATTTCACGTTTTAATTTTTATGGAACAATAACGTTTTAGATTGTGAAAAAACATTCGGCAAAATTGTCACTGTCAGTAATTCCTCCAAAGAGACTATCGTTCATAAAAATATATAGTTGGAATAGCGCCTGCCTGGCCCCGGCTTTGAGAAAGTTAATTCTATGTGAATTAACTTACACATATTCACATAGTCCCGAAATCTTTTATTTTCTCCAGAGACACTATGGTATGATGGTAAGCAGCTCTTAAGTTTCGATTAATAATTTGACAAAAAAAAAACCCAAACCTTTAAAACCGAAAAACCTCTCGAAAATTAAAAAAACCAAAAAAAAAAATTTCCCCATAACCAAAAACCAAAAAAAAGCCCCTTAAAAAAAAAAAAAAACCCCCCCTCCCCCCCCCCAAAACCAAAAACAAAAAAAAAAAAAAAAATATATATTTTTTTTTTTGTTTTTTTATTAATATTTTTTATTTTTATTCCTTTTCCTTTTTCAAATAAAATATTAATACCCAAAAAAAGAAAAAAAATTGTACCGTCTGGAAATAATCAAACTCGGGTAGCCTGCAAATCTGAAATAAAATCTCTGAACTACTATGGCTACACTCTGCAGCTGCATAAAATACTTATGCTGATGACGTCACTAATTATACCAGTAATAATAACTGTTAAAGTTTGGAAGGGGCCAGAGACCAGTTTCTCGCCAGCTCGTCACTCCATTCTTTCAGATCAATGTAAAAGATTTGAGGAGCAAATTATACTTTAAAAATATTTGGGGTAGAAGGTCATTACACCGATGACCTCCTACCCCATGATGATCTAATGACTTCTCGTGGATACGAACCTTGGCTCTTATGTATAATTCATCCACATGTATAATTCATACGTGATATCAATGTGATAGCTCGGGACTAAGCACTCGCCATAAACTTGATTTTTTAAAGGTAGGCAATTTTTTTTTATAAAATTAGGGTGACTAACGAGCACACAGTCCACCTGATGAGAAGTGGATGCTGTGACCCATAGACATTTACATTTAACCTCCATTAAGAATCAAAATGCAGATGCGTTGTCACCCCTGAGAACCAAGATGGAATGCTTCGAATTCAGTAAAATGGGTCTCCGGTACTCTACACTTACCATACGAAACAGAGCAGCATTGAGCTGCTATTTAACGCTGGTATTCTGTGAGAGCGTGGTCGTTCCCCGGTTGGGCCGACTCATTCGTGCTGCAACTATACTACTAATGTAACTGCAGCGTGGCTCTACCACGTAGGTATGTGTAAGTATAATAATTGGAATAAGATAATTAAAAATATTAATTTATGTTCATAAAAAATTTCATCAATCTTCGAGTAATCGACTGCATGATAAGTCGCCGTTTGCCAATATGCATTACATGTACTCTTATGTGGGTTTAAGATAAATATACCTACCAAGTGATAGTTAGTCATATATTCGAGCTTTTCGGTTACTTACGCCCACACACAGATTAAAATTACATTATATACTAGCTTATGTAGAATTTATTACGGTTACATTTTATGAGTTTTGATTTTTTCACGCGGAAGCCTAATTTTTTTTTTTTCAAAAATAATAGCGGCCTAAGTTACTCCTTATACCATCAGCTATCTGCCAGTGAAAGTCCCGTCAATATCGGTCCCGCCGTTTCAGAGATTAGCCGGAACAAACAGACAGACAGACAAAAAAATAAGCTTGTTTTTTATAAGCAACGTATTTTCTTTAATATCTATTTAGTAAAAGCTGTTATTTTGACATTACAAACTGACACTAATTTTATTTACTTGTATTGATATGCGCTCACATCAGCAGTCGTCTGCTGGTTAAAATAAAACAATACCCAGTTATGTACAAACTTTGTTATTGTAATCTCTTAAACCACGGAAAAACAGCCATCAATAAAAAAACCCCAAGAAATAATAATTAGGTTATTAATACTTATTTTTCCCGTGAATTACTGTATTCAGTTTTAAAGGAAGAACTTTTTCTTTAAAACACGTAGGTAAGTATTAAAAAGAAGCCTCTTCTTTTTATATCAATAATAAAATTATTCATAAAAACAATCGAAGGTTGGCCAAAGACGTATAAAAAGGAATAAAAAAAAAAACCCCAAGAAATAATAATTAGGTTATTAATACTTATTTTTCCCGTAAATTACTGTATTCAGTTTTAAAGGAAGAACTTTTTCTTTAAAACACGTAGGTAAGTATTAAAAAGAAGCCTCTTCTTTTTATATCAATAATAAAATATTCATAAAAACAATCGAAGGTTGGCCAAAGACGTATAAAAGCTGGCCAAATATTTTTTTAAATAGGTATTTAGTGTGTGCGTGATACTGGTGTTACTGACAGAGATGTAATTTATAATAACGTTCCCATCCCAATAAACATCCCAGCGTATGATAATATAATTTGTCCAAGGTACAATCTACCATGAGTAGCTGCTGCCCGGGGCTGCCAAAGCCAAA